TACCTTAAATGGCTTTGTTATCAAGAAAAGCATGTTAATTCTGAAAAAGTAACTTCATTTCTTGATATTTGCCTAAAAGGATTATGATTTAAGCTGAGGGCGGCAATATGCTTTGAAGTGAAGATGGTCAGGTTAATATGCTTCTTGCCAGCTCTAGTCTAAGAGTGGCAAGTTTTCGTTTTACTTAACATTGAACTTTTCTTGATATTGGCCTGAGTGTGTGAACAGTCCCTAAATTGGACTCCAATTCAGGAAATGATTAGATATAGGAAATCAATTTTAATGTACCAGGCCATTTCAGGCATCTCTCCCCCATATATTCAAAACTGTTTCAAAGAGACAAAGTCCATACATAATTATGCCACTAGAGCAGTTGTGGAAAATTCACTTTATGTACCAAAACCAAAACTTGAAATATTTAAGAAAAGCATATCATACAGTGGTTCACATCTTTGGAACAAGCTTGATAAGACTGTCAAAGAGTCTGATTCTGTAAACTCTTTTAAGAAAGCATATAAACAAGTGTATCAGATCAGAAAATGAAAATCATGTAAATGCATTATTTAAAGACATTGTTCCTTATATTCATGTAATTCTCTTATAAGTTGTTCTCTATGTTTCATGTAAATGCATACTTTGAAGATGCATATATATCAAATTGTTCTATATGTCCTATATATCTATTTGTATGTTTCTATATTTATTGTACACATTGTAAATAATTGTAAATTATTACTGGGCCTCTAGGAAGACCAGTTTTTGTACTGATAGAGCTACCCAGAATAAATATAGTTTTCAAATCAAATCAAACAAAATCTAAAAAGGTTCTTTATGTTACCACCACTAGTTCAGAGTTTGGCCGTCAGCATCTGTATCAAATGGCATGTGGTGACATTTTGCATGTTAATGATTTTCTTTTATAGTTCAATTTTTTATAACCTCCGTTTCACTGCTTGTCTCCAGGACTGCTTTGATTTGAATGCCATATTTTTGAAAATAATGTTTTTTAGATTTAAAACCACTCTGTTCAAGTGAAATTTTATTCAAAATGCCTACTCAAATTAAAGTACCAATATTTGTTAAAACATTTAAATTCTACCTAATATTCTTTTGTTTCATTCCGTACACATACTAAGCCTGGGTATTGAACAAACCCTTGAATAAGCGCAATCTTGAAGGATTCTGTGACTGTGAATTTCCAAAATAAACAGTTGGTCATTTTTTCACTTCAAATTTTGAATCCTGAGTTTTGATCTTATTACATGACAAAAAATTTCAAAACATAGAAGAAGTGATCAAGATATTTGCTCAAATCTTTTGGATCGCTGATGATGATTTACATAACCAGTTTATTGTCAGACAATAACGACATTGCACATTTTATTGTTGGGAAATATCGAGCATTCTGGGAGATAATCCTCTTTGAATTCTGCCTATGAGGGATGGTCTGATAAAAATGTATTGATCGGTAGGGTGTTCTCCTCTGCGGAGTTGCCGTTCTTCTAGTTCAAAAGTGCAGGGTTTATAGTGGCCTATCACATTACTTCAGCATCTATATAAAAACATATTATATATCAACTTGCCTTATTGGCTAATGATATGTTATCCCTGGCAATCGAATTCTCTGTTATTCCTGTAATGCCAGTCTGTTTTGTAAGTCTGCAAGTCTCAGTGAAATTTGATCTGCGGCAACCATAAAGTGGCCGAATTATACTTTTATTTAAACTAGCCAACCACATGATGACTGTCAATTGTCTACCAATGCTTAAAGTCCAACCCATGCATGGGAGAAGTTGGTTTGAAATTTCAGGAATGTTCTTCAGTTTGAAAATCTGAAACTACTATTTGGAATAGACAAGATGATTTGTGATACTGAATCAGTTGTAAAATTACATCTAGATATGTGGTTTAAATAAGTATTCATGAACTTTGACAATTTAATTTTCTTTGAAAATGTGACTTCAGGGTCGGATAGATTCACTATAGACCCTATTTTATAAAATCTCAAAAAGTGAAATATCTTGACAGATATTTACTTTTACCGGACATAGACTTTACTATCATTATCAGGCACATAAGGCTTGAATGAAAATTGATCTAATTAAACTACTGAATATTCAAATTTTAAAGAACTTTCAACTATATCTGCCATTTTGTCAAATCCAAATAAGTCACCTGGTGGTGATACCGGTCGGTAGGATCCTTCTGGCATCTGGGTTATTGAGGAGGAAAAATTTAGATATGATCATCGATTGTTGGGGACACGTGCTGTGATAGTTTGTGTCCTTGCATGATCCTTCTTGACAAGTATGACAAATTTTTTTTTTCAATAATCCCACTTGCATCCTGTTATTATCAAGTATATAACAAGTAATTTCTGTATAACAATTTGAAAATTCATATTGTTTCCACATCCTGTATTAAAAGTGGGATTTGTCAAATTCGACTGACAAAACGAGATATTAATTTTTTGATGCATGAGGATATTAGAAAACGTGTAACTGAAGCACATGCAGTCGTGTGATTCGAACCCACGCTTCTTGTAATATGATAAAAGCCATCAAATTAGCTGTGTGACATTTGTTTTTTTACATCATCTATGTTCATTTACTGCGTGTGTAGGTATAACCTGTTATGATAACAACATGAACCATGTTCAAACATGATCTGAATGATGACCAAGGGATATTTCACATGTTTGTATGATCTTATTGGGAGTCATCAAATTTTCCCCAGATTTGATAGAAAAATGTGTTGATAATCGAAAAATAACTGCCTAAATGTGTGAATTTTTAAATTTTGATATCTTTTTAATACATAATATTTTTATTGTATAGAGGATGCTTCTTCTAGCCATTTGTTAATGAGACAATTCATATACTGTTGGCCAGATATTGTCATTCAATATATTTTTATGTATTTATGGATGCATAATTATTGAAGCTTCGTTTGCTTAAAAAGTTGATTTCAAAATGGTTGCTAGATTCATATATATGTATATAAGAATAACAATTATTATCGTGATTAGGAAATAGCTTGACTTTAGGAATCCAATTTTTAAGCTTTATAGGCAGTGGAGACGATAACCCCATTTAACGTGAAGTACGGCGATCGCCATGTTGCACGACAATTGACGTGAAATTATGAAGCATAAGTGCGCATGTCAATAGATAATAACGGCAATTGCCGTCATGTCCGTCAAGTGACGTGCAATATTTTGCACGGCAATTGACGTGCAAACTATTATCTTGTAAAAGTTTCACATATTATCGGCAGGACAACAGGCAGTAATAAACTGGGAAACTAGTGGGAAAATCATGATCTGCATCGTATGTAATAGTTAAAATCATAAACATTTGCTATTTTCCGGGTTGCGTTTTGAACTAACTACTATTATGATGTGCTTACGTCAATGTTTACAAGAAATATTTATTCAACAGCAAACCGGAAGTAAACAAATGACGTGAAGAAAACGAATAAATTCTGATTTAATGAGGATATGAATTTAAATTGTTTATAATTCATTTAAGGTAATCATTAGATCATTGTAAAGAAGGTTTAAAAACTAAATCAAGCCAGGAAAAAAACGAAAAAATCAACAACACGCTGCGGTCAGGAAAACACTTCCGGTCAAAACGAAGAGGGAAAGTAGACCCCATTTTAGTGATTTCCAGCGGTCATTTCTCGGAATTGGGGCTCACGTTGTGTTCAGAGATTAAAAAACTATTGGGTCAGTACCAATTTCGTCGTATAACCTGTCGGAAAGACGATATCTAGACAATTGAAGGAGTGTTGGTAATTCCAATATGGCGTTTTTCTGGGATTCGTGAGAGGTAACTTTGATTAGTTCTAGCGCAAAATTCCCACATAGGATCGCGAATTCCTACATACAAGTGCTAGATTAGACAAAATACTTGAAGAAAATGCAATAAAAAGCGTTCCATCGATCGATTTAGACTTTCCAAGAATGCAAGTTCGGTGGTGACTTCATTGGTTCGTAACATTTACAGAAAATTCACAAGATTGAACGGCATTTTCTCCACAATTTTGGAATGAAATTCTTCCCTGGGATTTAATATATCATTAATGTTTACCAAAGTATACGTACTATAAAATACATATTACTTAGATTGTATATATATTAACACTGGGTCTTCTAATCAACCTGGTGTTTCAAATTATGAATTACAATGGACATTATGCTTATTGGCGTGATTTACGTCAATTGACGTGCAAAATGGCAATCTCCGTGTTACACGTTAAATGGGGTTATCGTCTCCACTGATAGGGGATTTGCTTCTCCGCAGTGTTGCCATTATCTAGTTTATTAATTATAGATGAATGAAAGGCGCTAATTCAGGTACTTTCCAAAGATAGCAACTATCTTTTTACCACTGTTTGACGTAAAACAGAAATTAGTATTACATGTTCCAGGTGACACGAAGACAAGAATAGTTGTACCTGCCATCGACATATTTGTGTCACGATAACTTAACAACTTAGCATTAACAGATTAACAGACATAGAATATCATCAAATGTTGGAACTCATAATATATTTTGTAATGTGCAGGGTGGGCCGAAATACCCCCACTTTTATTAATCAAATGATACTTTAGGCATTGACAGCAATAGCATATACCATTGGAAAGCTAAGAGAATAATGATTTGACATGTTATGCATCAAGATAATGTCATTAAAAACTAAATTAATATCAAGTTTATGGCACAGGAGATCAAAGTCCTACCATATTTTATAACTGGGTAGCAAGGCAGTGTCGTCAGTCAAAAAACAAAAAAACAATGAGTGTTTGTAAATAGTGATTTTTCCAACTTTACATTTACTTAATATGTATGCATGTACCTCCTTTATATAAAGGGCAATAAATACATACATACATACCTTTTTAAACAAGGTTCATATTAAATATATGAGATTTTTATAGTAATATTCAATATGGCATTTCTCCATATTAAAGATAATTTTGCATTTATTTTCAGAATGTTTATTCGGCAAAGCTCCATTTCATTCAAAAAGTTTGCAAGAACTGGAGGAAAAAATTAGAGATTCAAAACCAATTGAGGTAAGAAATCGTCTGTTTTTGATTTTTTGTGGTCACCGAGTATTTAGAACTACAAAAGTTAAATTGTGAGGTTTCTTCTACTTAGTTTTCAGATGCGTTGAAATATGAGGAACTTTTGTTTTACATAGACAAAGTTGGCACTTTATTAGCAACATTTTGTCATGATATGTAGAAAAGTATAACTGAAACATTTGTTAATTTTTGAAACATTAATGGACCATGAAACGAAAACCTTACCATCCAAAGTTTATTTATTATATTCACTTAAAACATTAGATTGCTATTGTGCTGGAGATACTTGTACATCACAACCATATTTTACAATTTGGTTTAGCTATATTTTACAATTGACTTTTGATGAACACATATGAATATCCCAAGAGTATTATAAAGGTAATTTAGAGAAAGGAGATTGCTTCTTGGATAAAGTATATTTAACTGCATAAAGAGACTACTACAACTGTAAGTTATTTTACTTGTTTTTTTACAGATTCCACATGGTGTCCAGATATCAGACAAATGCAGAGACTTGTTGCTACGGTTACTACAAAGAGATCCTCTACAAAGGATAGACTTTGATGATTTTTTTAATCATCCATTTATTGATCTAGAGCATGCTCCTTCTGAACATTGTCTTGCTAAAGCTGTAAGTATGATCTTTGGCCTTCTACATAATCCTCAGTGTCTTGTTTGGTATTAGATCATGAAATGGGTGATATCTTCAGTTTAAATAGATATTTTCATGTTTTGGTAGTTCTGTAGTTCGGGAAGATCAATTCAAAATCAAGAAGTTCTTATCCAACCAAATGAAGTTAAGTAGAGAAATTGAGAAGCCTCCCTTCCTTCTATTCATCTGTCTATCCATTTATCCATCCATTCGTCCATCCATTCGTCCATCCATTCATTCATCCATTCATTCATCCATTCATCAACCCATTTACCCATCCATTCACCCATCCATCCAACCATTCATCCATTCATTCATCCATTCATTTACCCATTCACCCATCCATCCATCCATCCATCAATCCATCCAACCATCCATCCACTCCTTTGATCATTCACTCATCTTTCCAGGCCATAACTCAAGTACCAGTTGTCAGATTTGCTTCGCATGCTATAGGTGCATGCCTTATGGGTGTAGAATCTCTGTTCAATAATGGACTTAACAGTAAGGTTACTCAATCCAAAATAGCTGCACTTATTTACTATTGCACAACTCATTACTTTGACGGAACTTCAATCTAAAGTTCAAATTTGACTTTACATTATTAAGATTTGACCTTCAATGACCTTTTCAAGTTAAAAAAGGTTTTTTTCTTCAAATTGACCAATTTCTTTTTTAAATCATCTACATGAACAAGTTATAAGAAGATCAAATCTGATTTCAGATTTGACCTTCAATGACCTTCTCAAGGTAAAAAAAGGTCTTAAATGTCTTCTTTCAACTTGCTTCAAATTGACCAATTTTTTCAAAATCATCTTCTTAAAAGTTCAAATATGACTATAGATTTGACCTTCAATGACATTCTCAAGGTCAAAAGGTTTTTTATTATTTTGTGTTAATCATTTTTTTGATTTTTGACTCCTACCCTATTAATTGCATGATAAATAAATGAATATATGAGATAATTATACTGAAGGGTATAGCAAAGTAGTTGTTCATAGATAATGTAATTTTTCAAATTTTACCCTTCACTATTAAAGGATGTGTCTGGGTATATGCCCTTTTGGTCCCTTAGTCAAATGTATGTGAAATATGGTTTTTATTACTGTCCTAGTTATATTTGATTATATATTTAGTTATATTTACTTTTTCATGAGTTTTGATGAATAATTAACCCCCTGCTGAGAGTCAGAATAAGTATCTTAACAAAAAAAATAGTCACTATCATAGAAAAAACACCAATGGCAACATGTATGACATACAAAGAAAAAATAACTTAAGACCCATGAAGAATTAAAAAGAAAATCATAATTTTGAAAATATATTTAAGAATTAAATTTTTTTCAAATTTTTGAATTTCCCGCCAGTTTAATTTGAAGGGGGAAAAACAAGATAGTTGCCATTTGATGTGAGAAATATCAGAAAAAAATTGCTTCACTTTTAGTTTTCACAATGAGCACAGTTTTCCGGTTTCGGTTTTTTGACTGATTCTGACTCTTCATCACCAGGGTCATGTATAGAGATTATAAAATTGAAACCAAAATGTTGTGCTCAGCATGAATTTGACTGAAATATGTGTAACATCACCAACACAATTGAAGTCTCAAAACTGGATGCTCAGAAACTTTGAGTGACTATAATCCCTTGATTACCAAGATAAACACCAATTCACTTATCCAGAAATACCATTCAATGTCTATAGAAACCAATGTTTTGGAAGATATGTTTCAAACTTTTTGCATAAATAATTCATTTAATATTTGCCATTGATTTTTTTTCAATTCTGACAAAGTGATATGCACTGTCTTTGATGCCAACATTCTTCATCAATTGTGAAACAAATTGATATTTTTGTAATCTAAGAAGAAGGATAAGATATTGAAGTTTAATAATATGTGTGATTGAGTTGGTTTTTTAGACATTACAATTTTCAATATTTTCTAAGTCGATACCCAGACTCATTCCCAGACTCATCCTTTTACTTCTAGCATTCTGAATCTGCAAGGTGGAAGGCACGCATAGGATTAAAATGATACTGTTATTATTTAATTGAATTTTCATGAACTTGACAAATATTGTGCTATTAATCAATATCATTCTTTAATATTTCCTCTTAATTAATTCAACATACGCTGCACTTAACATGATTATTTTTACAATTTTGAGCTTTATTTTGCACATTTTTCCCATGTGGCTCTAAAAACAAACTTTTGGATATATATCATGCGATAAACTCTTTTATACATGTCTTAAGCCAGATATAGTATACATGTACAAAACACAACTTAATGGCATAAATGGGATGACATACCGGGATGCCAAAATTGCAAGCAACATGTTCAATCGACCTATTTTTGTATTCTTTACTTTATATTATTTCCCGAAGGATTATCAAATCTTGAAGTTATTTAAAACTCAAAGTTAAAAAAGGTGGTGTAAATTCAAATTAATGATGAATCTTTAGTTTTCCTGAAATAAAATATGAACTTTCTGGATTTTTAAGAAATGATTTGAACACAAGATATTTCAAAATTGGAAATTTGTTTCTATTGGGTTTGTGCTTGGATGTGATATCACGTCCTTCATATTCAACGTATGTGCTTTATGACGTCATATCATGTCCTTCATAGCGAATGAGTTACAGGATGATTAGATGCCACAATAGACCTGATGACAGTGTATTGATAAGAAAGCATGCAGATATTATATTCAGGTTAAAAATCATCAATGAATACCCCTCTACATAATGACTCAGTATAAGAGAGGTTTTGAATTACTTAATGCTTACTTAGTCTCATGTGTCTCTATTTGTATCATGTCATTAAATCTCACTGTAAGAGACATCGCAAATAAATCAGGCCCACGTATCTGTATCGTATTGTAAAAGAAAGTTTTAATTTTTTCCTGTAAATGTGATCAATTCCAATCAATATGATGAATGCAGGTACGAGGAGACATTCTGCTGGCTTCTCTATTTAAAGAAATAATTTCCTGTTTTAAGCTAACAATTGAAAGAATGAAGAATGTTGATGGCAGATTGCGGTAAAATAAGTGCATGAGTATAACAATTAATGTCAACTAATGAGAGAATTAGTGATCTCATCATTGCATTAGTTCATTAGTTTATATTACCACGGTGTTACAGCATGACGGTTACGACACCTCTGAAAACGAGATTAGACAACTACGATCACTGATTTATCCAATAAAATGGCTGCGATGGAACAGAAAACTAAGGTTGGTGCATTATTTTCTTCTACTGTGTATCAAAGAAAGGATGAACGATTTTTGTAGGCATCGCATTCGGTGATGCATTTAGTAATGTATATTTTGAACGTATTCTTTGCAAATTGATACCCGGGGATACCATGAAATAAGCGAAAAACTGTTGAACTTGAAATTCAAAACTACACAAAATTTAGTAATTATTGTTTATTTATTTATTACGACCTCGGCGTATATAGATGTAACCTACATACGATCATAAAAAGCCAATTGAGTATTGGAAACTACCTAATATGTTCTACTTAAGCCATTTGCGATTACGCAAAAAATTGATTGACGGTTACGCGAACCTCGTTCAAATATGTATCACAGATTCATGACTATTAATTTTGTCATATTCATCAGTACTTGATGCTAATTCTTCTTTTGCCTCTTCATTGCTATCTTTTTGACTGAAATTGGTTTCATAAATAAAGCAAGACACAATTTTTTCCTTGCCCTATAGAGGCTCAAACAAGAGCGTCTCTTGCGAGTCCTGAAAACAAATATAAGCAATTCAATATTCCATTTCTTACCCATTATAACAATTACATGGAAAGAGGCTATCAGAACTAGCAACCTTAACTTGAAAGATGTACATGCACGTAACCGTCCGCTAAATATCTAATGTACATCTAATACAATACGTTACCGTCTATAGAATTCATACGTAAGTGTCTAACGACATTGCATTTAAAACCTTATTATTTACAATATGACCACGTTCTGGATTTGTCATTTTATGGCTTGTTTATACACAGTTTACTTACTGTTAATAGTTTGAGTGGCTCTGAGGCACACATACTGAGAAAACTTGAGAATGGACTAAAAATTATGAACTTGGACAATTCAGTCGGTAAGTTTACAGCTTATATTCCGCTTCTAGTAAATCACCTGGCATTTTTTGTTATCGTTACCGCAGAAATTTGCAAATCGCCTTGTCGTAACCGTCATACTATAACACCGTGATTATATAACTTGCTGCATGTCAGCTACATCAGTTACCCTGATTGTTAATGTTAGAGTCTCACACATAGGCTCTAAATAGGAGAAATAAATGCCTTAGTTACCCTGATTGTTAATATTAGAGTCTCACACATATGCTCTAAATAAGAGAAATAAATGCCTTAGTTACCCTGATTATCCCAACGAACGAAGTTCGGTAGGGATATAGTGAAGCCGTCAGTCTGTCCGTCCGTCCATCCGTCCATCCATTCGTCCGGAAGATAACTCAAATATTAGTTGACGGATTTTCTTCATATTTGGTGGAAAGATGTATATTGATGAATAGTTTTACGTAAAAAAAAGATGGCCGCCACTTTAAAAATGATGGGACTTTTCGCAAAAATCATAAATTTTTCATTCTAAACCAAAGTAATTAATATTATTGTTTGAAATTTTGGTAGTATATTCGCAACATCTATCTATTTCACATATATTCTGTGTTTTTCATCCTGACCCCCAGGGGCCATGTCAGGAAAACAGAAATTTTCGCTAATTTTTAGATCTTTCTGAAGTATAGCTTTATTATACTCAAATGAAAGGCAATTAAGAGTAGATTGCAAATATTGTATCTTTCTTCTGATTTGAGCCTCGTAAAATTCAAAATGGCCGTCTAATGTACGATTTCGCAATAATTTTTTGATCCCTTCAAAGTATGGCTATATAATACTCAAATTGAAGGAATTTTGGAGTAGATCACAATTATGGTATTATTTTTCAGATTTGTACCTCAGAAAATTCAAAATGGCTGCTTTGCAGGAATTCGCAATTCTAAAATCTAAATTTTTCAATTCTAACCAAAGTAATGAGTATAATTGATTGGAATTCGGTAATTGATATTTTGTTCGTTGGGATTTGCTACTCCTTGGAGTTGCCGTTATCTAGTTGTTAATGTTAGAGTCTCACACATAGGCTCTAAATAAGAGAAATAAATGCAGTAGTTGCCTTATTTAATGCCCACTCCCTTATAAGTGCCTATCCAGCTTCACATTTCTCTTAATTCTCACGACTTTTACATGAAAAATGATCTATCATTAAGTTAAAAATAATATTTAACTTTTGATTTCATTATTTCATGCCTAGTTAATTATGTCAATATTTAAGTTGTAATCCTATTGTATTATAAGTGATACTTTTCCATGGTTTATTTGTAAGTTTACACACTATTGCTATTTGACCTACATATGTACACCTTCATTATTAAGCAAATGGTAGCTTGTTGGTGCTACCCCCATAGATGTGGGGTTATTTTGAGGTTTTTTGATATTTAGGACATTTGTTTCTCAAAATAACCCCACACCGATTAGTACTTTGATTCTTTGGGGATTTGCTAAACAATAGCATACACATAGAATTTGTACTAATATTATTAGAATTTACTCACTTTTTTATGTTTTTCGTATCGACAAGACATTAATCTTCAACATGCTTCCAAATATAGCCCTCTAAGTGTTGTATTCATTCTTGTAATGAAGATTTAATACGGATAACAGATATTTCTAAAAAAGTTTTTCAAATTTCATGAGCAGTCGATATTTTTTATCTAAATGACAAACTTCGTGTAAATACGAAATCCAAAAGTAAAAATGGAGGGAAATTTTGAAAAATGATTTTCACCTTCCGGGGTGTATTAAAAGGATTTTCAACCTCAAGTCTGGCTGCTGTATCGTCTACGGCCTTTGTTTTCCTGAACTTAGGCATAAGCAATAATTTTGTTATTAATTTGACAGGTGATTTCGTTTGGCACTGTTAAGTTTCCCATCTACCACATAATTCCTCCCAGAATGCAACGCGCGAAAATGGCCAAAATTTGAATAGATTTCGAGAGTCAAATATTACAGCAAATTGTTCCAGTTATAAAGTATTGTTTCCACTGATCGATCGCTCATTACATTGGAAAAAGAATCCTCTTCACAGAAGAGAAGAAAAAAGGTAAGGAAACTGCCGATATTGTCAGAACTTGAATCTTCAAATCATGTGAAAAAAACCGCAAAGAATCAAAGCCTAAACTTTGTGGGGTTATTTTGAGAAACAAATGTCCTAAATATAAAAAAAACTCAAAATAACCCCACATTTATGGGGGTAGTTGGTGCCAACAGACAACATTGAATATCATAGTACAGCGTATATTTTATTTGTTATTTTAAGATTGAGTTGGTGCGAAAAGCTGTTGTTGAAGATGGAGACAAAAATTATGAGCTTGCAGTAACACGCTATTGTCAGGCATTAGATTACTTTGTTCCGGCAATAAAGTGTAAGTAGACTAAAGTAAACGTACAAGTTTTCCTTTTTACATTTTCATTAACCCCAGCCCCATTCTAATCATGCAGTAAAAGCATCCACATTTTTTTCCTAGTAATTGGTGTGTTGAAACAAGGTGATTGGTGCCTCAAGATTTATGTAAAATCACCATGTGAAAGAAATTATGGTGGTTCTATGTGGTCCTTCTGGTTCTGATTGAGTGTAAATGAATAAGGGATACATCATGGGCGTACCAAAGGGGATGGGAATCAGATGTGACTGCACTCCCCTTTTGAGAAAATTTTACTTTTCCCAAGGGATTTTGTTCATAACCCTGATGAAAATAGTCTAGGGGAAAGAAAACTATGTGCTCTGGGGAAAGAGGTGGATAAGCCGGAAGTACAAGCTATGAATGGCACTCCTCCCCCTTGGCAAATCCTGGGGATGCCCCTTACATGTCTATACCAATAGATAGAGGACATGTTACTTATTCTCATCTTTCATGAATATTCCATTTTTTCACAAACCATGTACTTACTTTATGCTTGTTATGTTACCATCATAAGTGGTGATATATTGTTTTATCCCATACTTGGACGTGTTACGGGTACATAAAGCCGGTTTGTAAAAACTTATATTTTCATCAGCGGGCAGATATAGCTTTACGTCCCGCTCCGAGCGGGCAGATATAGTATATCTGCCCGCTACGTCATAATCGCCGCTCGCATATTTGTTCATAATTTGTAACGTTCGCGTAATGACTGTAAACTACAATGGAGAAAACACAGACAATCGGGATCTGTTTGATGATTTAAAAAAGGGAAAGAGCATCCACTTAATCAATCAAAAATTCGAGAAAATAAATGTGGGAATATTTGAGAGAACAGGAAAATCCGCCCACGGCCAAGAAAACAAAACTGGACATGAATATTCTAAAACATTTCCACGATTGAACAATGTAAACCAGATGACCAAGATTGGTATGGGATAAACATATTATCCTATAGTCGGTTCAGGATATTGGGATTATCCCTTGGCCAATATAATATATTTGCCCGAGGGACCTGCGGCCCTCGGGCAAATATATTATATTGGCCTCGGGATAATCCCAATATCCTGAACCTCATATAGGATAATCTCTATATAGTCTCCATGGGCTTTGAATAAGAAGGGTATGGAACTCTATGTGATAGCATGAGACCTTAAAAATGGGAAATGCCATGCTTCCCTTTTATGGTAATATTTCAAAAAGTATTAGATAAATCATGGGCTTTCAACTAATTGAAAGCCCATGGATAATGTATATCAGCGCTTGCATTAGGTTAGAAATTTGTGAGTCCCAAGGACGCAATTTTTTTTAAAAAGTGTGTCCTTTGAAAAAAAGTGTGTCCCCTATTTCTAGCCTGTTTTGAGGTATACCTTTATTTTAAAAGCATTTTTTACCAAAACACCTTTCAGTTTTTGATTTCTTGCCGCGAATTTAAAACGGAAGTAAACGTTAAGTACGGACTGAATAAATGCATGTTCGTTCATTCGACAATGAATACATTTTATTTCATGAATAACCTAATATTTGTTTCTGAATAGGAAAAACTGTGTCCTTAACATGTTCGGGACGCTGTTAATGCAAGCCCTGGTATATGTTTTAGTATTATTTTGAATAAAAATCAATTTTCATTAGATTAAAGCATAAAATATATTCAATATCATGTAAGAGTAAACAAAAAAGACCAATAAGAATAAGAGGTATCAAGATGTTCTCCTTGAGTATTGCATTGTGGGTAGTTATTCAAGAACACATTCCAATAAAACCTTAATTTGTGGGAGAATGTTCACTTTCTGTATTGTCATAATTATGGTGAATTCCATTTTTTATAAAATAATCAACATGTATGGAGATAATCATGTTTTTATTTTTGAGTTATTTCTTTAAATCATCCATAATAAAATGGACAAAATAAGATTTCCTTGGAATTTGTACATTCTCCAATTTTGAAAACCCAGAGGCTTATGTATGAATGCTTATGTATGAAATATGGGAAGTTGCCTACCCTTCTAGTTGAAAGCCCATGTAGTCTCCAACTTTCTTTGTGGATGGTGTGCAGTATTTGGCAGTTGGTGTTTGGTTGTGGTTGATCTGCATTTGACATCTTGAACAAATGGGAGGTGGTGATATTTTGCATGTTAATGCCTTTTTGTTGTTTTTTTAATGTAATTTAAATTATAGATATTTGATTTATTTGGAACATTTAATTTAGATGAGTCTGATCCTGTTAAAAAAGATGCTCTTCGGGAGAGAGTGAAACAGTATATGAACCGAGCAGAGGATTTAAAGAATATCTTAAAACCCGGACAACAGCCTAGACTGGATGAATCTAAGCTAATAAAAGACTTAGGTTAGTTCATTCACTCCGTTTAAATTGTTGAATTGTCAGATTGCCATTTCTAGTACACCTGGAAGTCACGTATGGCACTGAATAAATCGTGCTATCTTATTGGATCATAAGAATGGCATGGGATAGTAAAGCATAAGCGACTCTGTTCACAGGCAGCATGCTAAAGGTTAATAAAGAACATCATTAAGTTATGATGTGCATGTACACCAATTTTATCATTATACAGGGTGACCCAAAAAACACAATCCCTAAAAGTGTAATAATTTATTACTTATCCTATCAACCCAATTTTTTATGTGCATAAACTAGAATCTATGGATGATAATATGAAATTAAGCTTGTTTCACAAAATTGATTATACAGGGTGTCAAATAAGTCTGTTCTCCCCCCTTAACTTTTTTATCTTTGAATTTATCATACTTTCCCATATATCATTTTGAAGCTCATGGAAAATGCTGATCACCCTCAAAAAATCAATCATAAACTCCTCCTAATAAAATTGCTACAATGTTTCTTGTGAGGTTGTAGTTGACCTTTGATTACGTCAAAACAAGTAAAATTACCAGGTATAGTGAATGAAAAGTGAAAAGTTGATACTGCAGTGACAAAGCCAACATTGGGTGATTTTGATGTTTCTCAATATCATTACAAAGTAAATGTGTTACATTCAGGGGAGCCTTTGAAGCAGGGGCATTTTTCATCACAAAATAGTTGATAACACTTAAAATTAAACGTTCTGAATGATTTAAACGGGATCATATCCTCGTAGAATTGAGGCCATCCGGGCTGCTGGGGGAGACATACAGACTATTCAAAAAGTGAAATATGGACATCACTAAAAATACTCTAAAAAATTTGAATTTAACCAATCACTCTGAAATTTTGGTGTGTGATCAGCAAATTAAATTCCCTTTAAGATGATATATACCAATCCTATGTTATCTCTGAATTAAAAAAGTTAAGGGGGGAGAACAGACTTATTTGACGCCCTGTACTGTATGTTATCCAGTGTATCATGGATGATCTTAGAATGTGTCCAATTTTCAGAAATAAATTAACTTTTGACAAAATCATATCTTGAGATTTTATGAGAAATTCAGAAAGAAATTTCAAAGAAGAAGTAAAATCGAGGTCTCATTTGATATTTTAATTGAGAAATGAAGAAGAAGCAATGGTAAAACACCTATAGGAAAAAATCAGATGACTAAAATCCTGACAGATGAGCAAGATCACATCACGCTGTACAAAAATCTGTTGGATAAATTCTCAAGAAATCATTAAGACAGCAGAATGATTAGTCAAGAGCATTGCATTAAATGTGGTATCAAAGTCATATATTTAAAAATGAGGGAGAAAGGAACACTTTTAAACACCTAAATAGAAAAAATAAAAATGATCAGCTTTCCTATCTCTGGGTTTCTTAGAATGGGATATGAGAACACCTGAAAGCATGCATGTGGTTGCGTTGAACGTAGTTCCAAAACATCACTCAGAAGGTTCAGCCATACCTAAAGGTTGCTGGGACACATCTTCATTAATGACCTCAACCTCTATACATATGAAATGCAGTTGAACAAGAACCTAAAAGAATGTGATTGGTTTAAACAAACGATGTGTAATCCTTTGATTAACACTAAAATCTTACATTTTCCTTTCTGTCAAAAGTGGGTACATTTTTTTAATTGACCATTACAGGGAAAATATTGAATATGAATTTAGTCTCACATTGTCATCTATAGTTTATGTACATGAAAAATGAAGCTGATTACAGCATTAAAGAAGTTATTTCATTTTTGAAGGGTTCTGTTTTTTGGGGTCACCCTGTATATGTATTGATCATATACTGTCTAAAATTATAAAGATGTATAATTTGCCCAGAAAATATGGGTGAATGAGAGTTTTTAACTTTCCTTCTCAATGGTTAGTCTATTGAGATAAGATATAAAGTATAAAAGTAATTTGAAACTTGAGATAGGCTATGAACAACCTTTAGCTTGACATATAAGGATGTATAAAGCCCCCTAAAACTATAGATGAGGTGCGATACCCCCGGCCTTCAACATAAGTCACGATGTATAAACCCCTGAAATTAAGGATAGGGTACAAATGACACAGACATTGAGGTATAAGATTAGACCCCTTGAAGAGATACAATGTACTTGTGCATTAATATAAGGGCCTCTAAACTCAATAAATAAAGTGTGAAGCCTCCCAAAACTTGAGATATGATATATAAAGACTCGAAATAGAATGTAAAATGGCCTCTTAATTTCAAGTTTTATGGTGTAATTGGAAATACAATGTATGAAGTTCCCAAAAGTATAAGTCTCGTACAACATGTGTTATAAAGTATACTCCCAACTGTCACATATCTTAAAACTCAAATCTGTTGAGATGGCCACTGAATTCAAAATGGTGGCAAAAAGAGACAATATTACTTTATTACTTGAACCTATTTCAAAGTGATGATTGATTTGATGGATAGTTTGTTCATTGGGATTTGCTACGCCGTGAGAGTTGCCGTCTTCCAGTTAAAGCCTAATATGACCATTTACACAAAGTAATTCTATATACAAAATGTACTTATATTAAAACAAATGTGTTAATGACATCTCCATAACTATTATCTTTCCAGAACAAATGTGCACAGATGGAGAGAAACTAGAATCTGCATTAAAGATAATAGTCGTTGCCAAGTATAAGGTAAATTGTATTAATATATACCTAGGCTCTTAAAAGGTATATAATGCATGAAGGATCATATGATTTTTGTTAAAAGATTCAACAGAAATACAAGTTGCATACAATTTTATCATACCATGCCATGGTCTTATTTATTTAGAGATTGATTTGTAAACTTCTTGTAGAAAATAAATCTTGCAATTTTGTTGATCTCTGCTTTTTATGAGATTTATGTGTGATAACCTTAATTTGTTATTTCACAGAGTTGTTATTACACAGAAATTAACTAATATCTCAGTATAACATCATTGGAGGAACTTTGTCATCATAATGTACATGTCAGTGATCTCCCCAGGATTTTTTTTCAGGTGGGTGCAAAATTCTCATTTTCACAATTCAGACCAAAATTGGTCAAAATATGCCAATTTTTTTTTTGATTTTTATCATTTTCAAGTGGGTGCATATTGTCATTAATAGTTGTCAAGGTGGTGCTAGCATTTTTGTCATCATAATTCTAGGATTCCATTCATTGAAATTACTTCAGGTAACCTCATAGGACAGTTATACTTTGCTGTTTATTTTAAATAAAGAATAAATAAAAAACTTGGATTATTAGCATTTCCAATTTTCCAGGTCAGACACTGAACAATTGACTCTTTTATGCCAACATATTTTGTCGTAGAAAAATTGATGGTAATCAAGTCAATGTTACTTTTACAATGATAAATGTATGACTATACTCTATTTAAGCACCCGAGTGTACTATTAATTACAATGTAGTTCTTGAGAAAAGAAGAAAGCTCAATTAATCAATTATTACTTTTCCCACATTATTTCTTCATAGAGGCAACCCTAAATTCATCCAATGCACTAAACATTGAATTAAATTGTCAACATTTCTATGTCCCCATCACATAGTGTGAGATAATATTGTCAATCTAGGCACAGCTGTCTGTCCATCTCTTTGCATATCCAAACAATTTTTCAATCACCTTCAACTTTTTTCATGAAAAAATGCTTTTTTGTAAAATCAAATACCAATTATCAGATTTTTTCCAAATTTTGTAGAATGATGTATTTTGGGAAAAGGATCTCGCTTGAATAGTATTTTCCAAAATGGCTTCTCAATTCAAAATGGCCTTTATTTTTGATTTAGTCGCCGTGCTGATATTGCAGTATCAATGAAATGTTAGCTATGTTTTTTCCAACCTGTCTAAATTCCCAGCTTTAGTTGAGCAATTTTCTAGATTGGGTGCCTTCATACTAGGGCTGGCACGGAACGGAATTATTGTCCGAACCGTTCCGATTTTGCCTTCGGAAACGGAATTTCGGACCTACCTTCTCATATTCCAATAAATTTCGGAACTTTTATTTCCTTAAAGAACATTCACTTATCGTTATACCGACACGCTAACTCGCTATAGCGAACTAGTATTATGAAACGAAATCAATAAATATGTATAATTATTAAACATTTTCACTTGGTAAAGTTGTTTTATAGTACTATGTAATAAGTATGATTGTTCTGTACCTATAAGAAAATATTATTATTGAAAGAAAGACAGTAACAGTTGTGTGCCAAGGTGCCAAGAAGGCAAGGACATTAACATTTTGCCATTAGTTTTGAACATTTATGCCACTTGTTGTTGCAGTTAGATAGTGTTAGTGTTTGTATTTAATAAATATAATACAACTTATATATATGTAGTTGTACACTGCTATTCTAATGGTGAAAAAATGAGAATTTAAGGGGAGAAGTAGGAACTATTTTAAATAAGGTCCGAAATTCCGAAATTTCCGAATTCCGAAGCCAAGTTCCGAAATCCGTTCCATCCCGATTCCGTTCCGTTCCGTGCCAGCCCTACTTCATACAATCTCCTGGAGACCTTCCCATACCCTATACTCACTGGGGTTTGCATCAGGGCTATTAGCTTGGCGATCATCAGGCCGTATCAGTTCAGGAACATTTTGCAAATTATGCTTATTTCTCCAAAAAACCACATGTTTAAGTGAGACGCTGGTGACATATTTTATTCAAGTAAAACTGTATAATTTATGATCCATGGCTAGATAACAACCTCAAGTTTCATTTGGTATGCAAATTATGATTTGATATCAAGATTAAAAAAGTAATAGCATTTTGAAAAAAAAGTGGCGTTTTTTTTAGGCCCACCCTGTACTTATATAATTCACAATAACTCAAAAACAGCATCTAGATAAATTGGTCCAAATTTAAGATATAATGCTAATATGGGACCTATATTTGTGAAGGAATTTGTAACAGGTTGTTATATGGTGTCCTGGATGTCGATTTTGCCAAAAGAATACAATACTATTAGCTGGAAATGTTCAAAATTACTTGTGATTTGATAAAATATTTTGTTGGGTTGGATTTACAACACCTCCAGGAAAACCAAAAAAAACATAACATTTTCTTAAATTCATTTATTATTGAGCTTTCACCTTCACATGATTTAACTGAGTTTTTAAACGATCAGTTTCTGTCCAAAAGTAGAATTGATTCCCTGAAGCTTTGAAAATGTTTTAATTTGCTTGCCTTGATTAATATTTAAAGTCTTAGTGGACCTATTTTTTGGTGTTAGCCATCACTTTTTTATCTACTTTGTAGTTCAAACTTTTATTTCCTTAAAGAACATTCACTTATCGTTATACCGACACGCTAACTCGCTATAGCGAACTAGTATTATGAAACGAAATCAATAAATATGTATAATTATTAAACATTTTCACTTGGTAAAGTTGTTTTATAGTACTATGTAATAAGTATGATTGTTCTGTACCTATAAGAAAATATTATTATTGAAAGAAAGACAGTAACAGTTGTGTGCCAAGGTGCCAAGAAGGCAAGGACATTAACATTTTGCCATTAGTTTTGAACATTTATGCCACTTGTTGTTGCAGTTAGATAGTGTTAGTGTTTGTATTTAATAAATATAATACAACTTATATATATGTAGTTGTACACTGCTATTCTAATGGTGAAAAAATGAGAATTTAAGGGGAGAAGTAGGAACTATTTTAAATAAGGTCCGAAATTCCGAAATTTCCGAATTCCGAAGCCAAGTTCCGAAATCCGTTCCATCCCGATTCCGTTCCGTTCCGTGCCAGCCCTACTTCATACAATCTCCTGGAGACCTTCCCATACCCTATACTCACTGGGGTTTGCATCAGGGCTATTAGCTTGGCGATCATCAGGCCGTATCAGTTCAGGAACATTTTGCAAATTATGCTTATTTCTCCAAAAAACCACATGTTTAAGTGAGACGCTGGTGACATATTTTATTCAAGTAAAACTGTATAATTTATGATCCATGGCTAGATAACAACCTCAAGTTTCATTTGGTATGCAAATTATGATTTGATATCAAGATTAAAAAAGTTATAGCATTTTGAAAAAAAAGTGGCGTTTTTTTTAGGCCCACCCTGTACTTATATAATTCACAATAACTCAAAAACAGCATCTAGATAAATTGGTCCAAATTTAAGATATAATGCTAATATGGGACCTATATTTGTGAAGGAATTTGTAACAGGTTGTTATATGGTGTCCTGGATGTCGATTTTGCCAAAAGAATACAATACTATTAGCTGGAAATGTTCAAAATTACTTGTGATTTGATAAAATATTTTGTTGGGTTGGATTTACAACACCTCCAGGAAAACCAAAAAAAACATAACATTTTCTTAAATTCATTTATTATTGAGCTTTCACCTTCACATGATTTAACTGAGTTTTTAAACGATCAGTTTCTGTCCAAAAGTAGAATTGATTCCCTGAAGCTTTGAAAATGTTTTAATTTGCTTGCCTTGATTAATATTTAAAGTCTTAGTGGACCTATTTTTTGGTGTTAGCCATCACTTTTTTATCTACTTTGTAGTTCAAACTTTTATTTCCTTAAAGAACATTCACTTATCGTTATACCGACACGCTAACTCGCTATAGCGAACTAGTATTATGAAACGAAATCAATAAATATGTATAATTATTAAACATTTTCACTTGGTAAAGTTGTTTTATAGTACTATGTAATAAGTATGATTGTTCTGTACCTATAAGAAAATATTATTATTGAAAGAAAGACAGTAACAGTTGTGTGCCAAGGTGCCAAGAAGGCAAGGACATTAACATTTTGCCATTAGTTTTGAACATTTATGCCACTTGTTGTTGCAGTTAGATAGTGTTAGTGTTTGTATTTAATAAATATAATACAACTTATATATATGTAGTTGTACACTGCTATTCTAATGGTGAAAAAATGAGAATTTAAGGGGAGAAGTAGGAACTATTTTAAATAAGGTCCGAAATTCCGAAATTTCCGAATTCCGAAGCCAAGTTCCGAAATCCGTTCCATCCCGATTCCGTTCCGTTCCGTGCCAGCCCTACTTCATACAATCTCCTGGAGACCTTCCCATACCCTATACTCACTGGGGTTTGCATCAGGGCTATTAGCTTGGCGATCATCAGGCCGTATCAGTTCAGGAACATTTTGCAAATTATGCTTATTTCTCCAAAAAACCACATGTTTAAGTGAGACGCTGGTGACATATTTTATTCAAGTAAAACTGTATAATTTATGATCCATGGCTAGATAACAACCTCAAGTTTCATTTGGTATGCAAATTATGATTTGATATCAAGATTAAAAAAGTTATAGCATTTTGAAAAAAAAGTGGCGTTTTTTTAGGCCCACCCTGTACTTATATAATTCACAATAACTCAAAAACAGCATCTAGATAAATTGGTCCAAATTTAAGATATAATGCTAATATGGGACCTATATTTGTGAAGGAAATTGTAACAGGTTGTTATATGGTGTCCTGGATGTCGATTTTGCCAAAAGAATACAATACTATTAGCTGGAAATGTTCAAAATTACTTGTGATTTGATAAAATATTTTGTTGGGTTGGATTTACAACACCTCCAGGAAAACCAAAAAAAACATAACATTTTCTTAAATTCATTTATTATTGAGCTTTCACCTTCACATGATTTAACTGAGTTTTTAAACGATCAGTTTCTGTCCAAAAGTAGAATTGATTCCCTGAAGCTTTGAAAATGTTTTAATTTGCTTGCCTTGATTAATATTTAAAGTCTTAGTGGACCTATTTTTTGGTGTTAGCCATCACTTTTTTATCTACTTTGCCGAAAGACCTTGGATCTGACCCAGATTATAAAATTCAAGCCATTTCTCTTGTGCCACTTTGCTTCTTAACATCAACAGCTGGAAGCTGGCTCAGAAAAAATGATGGATGGGGAAGAATTCTATGAAGAGCTTGGTATAAATAGATGCTGTCTTTTACTCCCTAACGTACATGTAGTCCCGATGTAGTCCTAGATCTAGGTTCAATATGTAGGCTCTCGGAACAAATGAGGCTAAACTACAGCCGGGACGCTACACCTCCACTTTGATTTATTAAAAGCACTCACGGTTGTAGTTATACACGTCCCTTCCCTAATGATGATCAAGTTGTTTCATCAGCTAATGTTACATAAGGCTGTAAATATTCTATCCTTATGTATTAGCTTTAGGCTAGCTTAAAGGCCCCATCATAAATTTTTATTATTCAGATTTTAGATTTAGATAAAGAGATGTTAAGGGAAAAAAGATTATTTTTATATTTGAGTTTCTCACCATTTTTAAATAAAAGTTGAAATATTTTAATCATCAAATATTTGACCATTCAGCAGTGCAAAACATATTAACTTTTTAATATCACTGCGAAGATTAAACAAGGGGTGTACTATTTGAACATGAAATGTCATACCTAATGTGCCACTTAAATGTTTTAGCATATTTTCACCCTAAGTGATATCATGGTGATGTCATTTATAGGGTGCAAAAATGTTTTGAAAAACTCTCATTTAAACTGTCAAAATAAACGAATATTGATTGACTAACTTGGTGGAAAAGAAAAATATATTGTTGCTTTAGGTATTATTGTACCTTTGGTTTCTATGCAAACTAAAAATTTTGCATTTTTCTCTGAAGCACTTTCATGCATAGATGAGTTCATTTCTTACTTATTTATCAACTGATTTTCTTGATTTTTTCCAAAAAAGACATGTGAGGATGAATACTACGCCAGTTTATATTGACTGTCTTTCATAACATGTGACCTTCCAGCTTTGTCCAATTATACAATTGTAAGCTTGACAGTGATGATATGGAACTATTTTGAGAAATGGTTATTATCCCACCGAACAAAGTTCGAGAGGGATATAGAGCAGCCATCCATTCATCCGTCTGTCCGGACAATAACTCAAATACCAAATACTTAAATACGGATTTGATTCGAATTCTATAGGCTTATGCCTTATGGATGAAGGACCACTGCTTGAGAAGGAATTTTCAATATGGCTACTCAGTTCAAAATGGACACCATTTTTCATAAAAAAAGTAATCAAGATGGCCGCTGAATTTAAAGGTGCCTGCAATTTTTCAAAAAATAGATAAATCTTTGATAACTCAAATACAAGTAGTGGATGGATTTGGTCAGAATTTTATTTGCTGATGTCAAGGGACAAATGTTTGTCAAGAAATTCTCAAAGTGACAGCTGAATTTCAAAATGGCCCCATTTTTGTAAAACAGGTAATCTTTGATAACTCAAATACCAGTGGGCTGATTCGGTTCAAATTTAATATGCTGATACCCAGGGACAAAGGAGCTCTGTTCAAGAAGAACTTTTTAAGATGGATGTTATTTATCAAAACATATTTTGTTTGGTGGGACTTGCTATTCCATGGAGTTGCTGTTTTCTAGTTTAATATAAGATGTCATTCATTTCAAAAAATATATGTTTTTATACACACTGTGTATTGTAATACTTATGAGTTTGTATATTTATTTACATTTTAGTATGACACCGAGGAGTTTGAAGAGTCACTGGAAAAATATGAATTGGTCCTTGGTGCATTGATCAAAATTCTGCATGGTAAGTGAACAGATTTTTGCATCATCGGTCATAATGCCGTAACTAATATCCTTTGTTCCTATCAGTAAGAATACTAGCAGCAATTTAAAGTTTCAGCAAGAGTGAAAAATCCTGCAAATATTTCCTTAACAGTTCTAATTTTATTGTCAGATACAGTATGGACGTTTTTGAGGATTGAATTGCAGAAATGTCAGAAATTCTTTATCTACTTTTATTCTACATCTACTTTTTCAAAATAAAAAATAACCTTGAAGATCAAAGCAACATTATGAAATTAAGTCAGTTGGAGTCTCAATTTTAATGTTTAATCACAATCCACAAGTCGACAAGATCACATACGAACTTACTAGGTGTCTCGGGATTGCTCGGATTTGCTTGAGCAATTCGGCTCGATACGAGTGTATCGATACTCACCTTGAATATCGGTTAAAATCTTGTATCATTTTTAACCTCCAAAACAGCAAAATCATGTTCAAAAGCACCTTAAATAGCGTAATAAAATTTTATCTTTTTTTCCATTTTGTTATTTATCTGCCGTAATCCGCCATAGAATGTACTTCCGGTCAGTGAAAAAACTAGAAAAATAAAATTCTCGAAAGAACAAAGGTATTGGACCATTATCGCAAGGACAGTGATCTTTTAAAGATAAATGAATCAAGTACCATTTGTGAGCTTTCAAGGCGCAACTCCATTGCAATGGCCAGAGAAGTGAGCTGAAATTTCACGAGGAGATATTTACATGTAATTTAGTGACACCGACCTGACAATATCATGCCCGGTGATTGTACAAAATGGATGGAGGGGGGAGTAGGCGATTACTGCAAGATATTGGAAGATTTATTTTTTCAATAGAAAAGGATTAATATCGATATTGAGAACTGAATACAACGATGTTTTTCTCTTAAACCAATCATTGAAAACAGTAAAAAAAACACGGTATTTTATGTAATGTTGACTGATTGACAACAATTTAATGCGAACATTATTTAGATATATTTCATATAACTGTTTTTGTTAACATTTTTTGTTTTTTAGTGCAATTGTTTTTGCTCCTTTCTACCAATTCTTGAGAATGAAATAAAATGTCTTTCCGAACCTTGTTGGAACAAAATAGCATATACAACATGTTTTTAGACCTCTCAATATTATATAGTTATACAAAGGAATTTTGGGTTGGTTTTAAAAAAGTATTCAAAAAATTAAAACAAAATCCCCCCAAAATAAATTAAAACCAAGATAAACCTTTTATTTCATTAACAAGATACAACATGTTGTGTTTATGTCGTTTTGTTCCAATGAGGTTCGGAAAGATGTTTCATTTCACTCTGGAATCATGATACCAAGAACAAAACAAGTGTTTGATGTGTTTTCTAAAACAATATAGATGAAAGTATATATATATTTTTCAAATTATATTGTTACCATTCAAAAGATTTTTAGATTTTTTCATGACTGGTTTAAGAGAAACGTGTGTTCAAAAAGTTCTCCATAGAGATACCACTCCTTTAGACCCTCTCTGGTGCATTCTGAACATATCTCAGCATTTTGCATTTATTTTTCAAAGTATTTACATACTGTATAGGTTCCTGAGAAATTATTGTATAGAATTCTATATGATATGAGAAATGAGATCTGCTATCCTTGATTAGATAATGAGATAATATCATTTCTGTCATTATTATATTAGCTCTTGAGCGTTCAATCCTAGGCTCAGTTTCAAATCTATAAAAATCTGTGAGGAGGGGAGGGGGGGGAGGCAGTTGCCTCCATTGCACTCCCCCTTCTGACGCCAATGCACAACTGGACCATATCATGTTGGGGCCAGTTAAAAGTCACTTGGGGCCTAAAATATGTCACACAACTGAACCTGTCATGTTGGAGCCAGTGAAAAGTTACCTGGGGCCCAAAACATGTCACACAACTGGACCGTGTCATGTTGGAGCCAGTGAAAAGTCACATGGGGCCCAAAATATGTCGCATAACTGGACCGTGTCATGTTGGAGCCAGTGAAAAGTCACCTGGGGCCCGAAATATGTCACATAACTGGACCCTGTCATGTTGGAGCCAGTGAAGTCACCTGGGGCCCGAAATATGTCACACAACTTTTAATATTGCTTATTAATCAGCTACCATATTAGTTCAGTAGAGTGATACTGTTGTCACATTTCTGATTATATGACCAATGCATTCAATATTAAATAAAATTGATTCCTTTAGGTGTAAATGACCATTTCATATGACCTTTAAGTTTGTGTCCACAATACGCAATCGAGCGACATAGATTGTGTTATTGTCGTCAGCAATATAATCTGATCAATGAAAGTCCTCATTTGATGTCAAAAGCAACTGAGTGATCAGTGATCACTTCTTTTGAACCAATTGACATACTTGCATAGCAACTAATATGCTTTACCAAATAGGTTTAAGTAGCATAATCCAGTTCCATGACAAGTAGTCCTGATAGCATATGCAGAAAACCACTTCCCATCAAACCGCAGAACATGAGTGGGATGCATTACTTAGTGGGATGTATTACTGAGTGGGATGCATTACTGAGTGGGATGCATTACTGAGTGGGATGTATTACTGAGTGCGATGCATTACTGAGTGGGATGCATTACTGACTGGGATGCATTACTGACTGGGATGCATTACTGAGTGGGATGCATTACTGACTGGGATGCATTACTGACTGGGATGTATTACTGAGTGCGATGCATTACTGAGTGGGATGCATTACTGAGTGGGATGCATTACTGAGTGGGATGCATTACTGAGTGGGATGCATTACTGAGTGGCATGCATTACTGAGTGGCATGCATTACTGAGTGGGATGCATTACTAAGTGGCATGCATTACTGAGTGGCATGCATTACTGAGTGGGATGCATTACTGAGTGGGATGCATTACTGAGTGGGATGCATTACTGAGTGGGATGCATTACTGAGTGGGATGCATTACTGAGTGGGATGCATTACTGAGTGGGATGCATTACTGAGTGGGATGCATTACTGAGTGGGATGCATTACTGAGTGCGATGTATTACTGAGTGCGATGCATTACTGAGTGGGATGCATTACTGAATGGGATGCATTACTGAGTGGGATGCATTACTGAGTGGGATGCATTACTGAGTGGGATGCATTACTGAGTGGGATGCATTACTGAGTGGGATGTATTACTGAGTGGGATGCATTACTGAGTGGGATGCATTACTGAGTGGGATGCATTACTGAGTGGGATGCATTACTGAGTGGGATGCATTACTGACTGGGATGCATTACTGACTGGGATGCATTACTGACTGGGATGCATTACTGACTGGGATGCATTACTGACTGGGATGCATTACTGACTGGGATGCATTACTGACTGGGATGCATTACTGACTGGGATGCATTACTGACTGGGATGCATTACTGACTGGGATGCATTACTGAGTGGGATGCATTGCCGAGTGGGATGCATTACCGAGTGAGATCCATTACCGAGTGGGATGCATTACCGAGTGGGATGCATTACCGAGTGGGATGCATTACTGAGTGGGGATGCAATACTGAGTGGGATGCATTACTGAGTGGGATGTATTACTGAGTGGGATGCATTACTGAGTGCGATGCATTACTGAGTGCGATGCATTACTGAGTGCGATGCATTACTGAGTGGGATGCATTACTGAATGCATTACTGAGTGGGATGCATTACTGAGTGGGATGCATTACTGATACTACAGAAGTTTATCTCCAGGAAAAGTGCATTTTTTCAAACAGGAAAGTTTATATTGTTTATAAAATTTACCGCATGGAACATTTGGGAAATTGATGATTTGCGATCACCGGATAGATTCTATCTTGCAGTGGTGTCACAATTAGGCCACATTTCTGTAACTGTTTGATTTCGAGAGATTATCTTCTGTATTTCTTACTTTATTGATTTATTTTTTCACGAAAGTATTTGATTTGTCTAGGTCAACATTCATTCTAAGCACATGCCAAATCTAAGATTTTACTGACACCCCCTCCCCACAACCCCCACGCCCAAAACTCATATGACATATGATGGGATGACCCTGTAAATTTACCTGTAGTGATTAATCATGAAAGTTTTGATTATCAAACTAAAGAATCAAGGTTTTAAAGAATCTTAACATTGCATCAATGGAGATTTGGCTCAAGTTTTTTTTTAAAAAGTCAATGAAAATGATTTAAATGACATAACTGTCATTAATAAATCAACGTTATTATTGTGGAAAACTTTTCACTGAATTCAAAATGCTGTTAAAAAGAAAGAAAAGTTAGTCGTTAGAGGTAAAAAGTGCAAATCTCTTAGAATCACATGAAAAAATGAGAATTAGCGAGATTTCAATATGGAAACTCCTCTATTCCAGAGTGCTCATTTAAACATAGCTTAACCCATTTCTTGAATTGTTGAAGCCATTCGCTACATATTGACAAAACTATTATCGTTATTTTTCAATAAGGACCTTATTCAAAAGGAGAGTATTGTTTTGTCAGTAGATTCCAATAAGTAGAGTTAGAGTAGTTTAATGTGTTTATATTTCTAATCTTCAGAACTCATTATTTTAATGGCAGTAAGTACATTTATAAAACCTACATTTTTAATAATACTCTTTGTCTCACAAATCATTATATTTCAGAAACATGTGGAAACAGGGAAATTAAGCCATTTGCGTAGGGAAATATTTTAATTAATCTTTCAGAGCATCCACATTGAACAAAGGGGAACGAACGCAGTGACTGGATCAATCGCTTGTAAATTATTAACACAAAAATGGCCTGAGAACCTGATTGCTATATCAATATAATATCTTTAAGAAATTCTCACAAATTTTTATCACATTGCATAATTATCCCACTGAACGAAGTTCGAGGGGGATATAGGAAAGCTGTCTGTTCGTCCGTTTGTCTTTCTTTCTGGGCAATAACTCAAATACCGGTTGTCGAATTTGATTAAAATTTTATAGGCTTATGCCTAATGGG